CAAGCGGGTTGGCAACCGTAGTTATTATTTTTTAGTCGTCATTAGGAAGATGCTGCTGCCCGTATCCTTTTTTGTTTCTCTCTGTCGCCTCTTACGACATCCAAGAGATGATATCGAATAGTGGATACCCTTACACCACTACCGCATGGTAACAAAAAAATATCATGGTAGTTAAATTTTAAAATCCGATCATATTTTTAAATTACGTGATATTTCATTAAAAAGTTATAATTCATTTTTATTTATGTTATCATACCAGTCCTTCAATTGATCACAACTCAATATGGTGGTAGGATGCAGACAGCGAACTCAAAAGTCGTGGGTTCGAATCCGTCATCCGACTACTGTAGTGTACTGTAGTGTACCACTCCTACTACAAGCATTTTAATATAAGCAGGAGTAGTTAATTTGTTTTATATAATGAGGGTGACAAACGAGCACACAGTCCACCTTATGGTAAGTGATTGCTGTGGCTCATAGACATCTACATCTATCCTTAGGAATGCATTTTGATTACGAATCAAAACGCAGATGCATTAGCACCCGTGAGGACTAAGGTAGAACGCCTCGTTTCCAGTAAAAAGGGTCTCCGGTTCTCTTCAGTCAGCATACGAAACATAACAGCGTTATGCTACTATTTTACGCTGGTATTCTGTGAGAGCATGGTCCTTCCCCGGTCGAGCCGACCCATTCGTGCTACAACTATACTACTAATGTAGCTGCAGAATGGCTCTGCCAACGTAAAAGTTAAATAAATCAGTAATGTTAATACAATAATATAAAACTTCTGTTTTTTTTTTTAAATATTACAGTACATTTATTCACACTGTATTAACAATTTATCCCGTACTTTAAGCAAGCAGTCTTATATGTTTATTATATATTTTATATGTTATGGTTGACTCGAGAATGGTTTGGATTCAAAATTGGAACCGGGAGGGGTTATAAAGTCACTCGTATTCTATGTACATATATATATATATATATATTTATATATATATTTATATATATATATATATACATATATATACATATTATGGGTTTCTGGAAATTGGCTCTAATGATGGATAAAAGTGAATAGAGGTAATGTTATACTTTACAAGTTTATCTAGATATGTGTATCCATACATTTAATAGGAGTGTTTTAGTAGTGGTTAAAATGAAAGCGTTTTCATGTTACACACATCATAAATAGTAGGCACCAAAAAACTATCCCCAAACTAACTATAATTATTTTAGTTAATGTAGAGCTCCAAATAAAATAGAAGACCCATTCAAATAAAAAAATCGAATTATAAAAGTTTTAATGTGGTTAAAATATTTTGTGAAATATTGTACAAAATTTCGAAGATTTGCCAAAAAAGTTACTAATTGCTAAAGGTAAGTTAATAGATTCCCTGTCGGCAAAACAGGCAGAATAAATCGAATCGTTCATAAATGATTCATGGAAGAGGGAAAGGGTTAAAATTAACCATAGGATTACAAATATCACAACCCGTTACTTAAATTAATATTATTTTCAATTTTATTAATGAGTATAAGATAATAGTTACGAGTATTTGGATGTTTTACATATATTATATACAGGGCAAATTATTAAAAAACATAATATAATGTGGTCCATTTTAGTATATTTTGGTATATTTTAGTTATATTCTATCTATTTTAGTATATTTTAGTTACATTGTTATAATTATTACTTTAATAGAATTATCTTAGACAGATTTTTAAAGCGCTCTGACTACGGTCAGCGGTTGTATTGAGAGGAGCGTAGTTCAAAATGGTCACCCTAAAAAGCTTAGAATGATTAATTGCTTTAAAATATAAATTTGTAAAATATACATATTCGGTAAATTTCACCTTTAGATTGTACAGATTCTGAAAATATGGAACACTTTTATATTAGATTTACAACTAATCTGAGCAAGACCTTCCCGCAGTTGTCAAAAATCGCTGCAGTTAAGTGAGATTATTGACACATATCACTTGATTTAAGAAAAAAAATTGCAGTAAACTATAATTAATGTTTGGCCTGGCAACATACAATGCACGTAACCTGAGAACGGACGAGAAGATCCTGGAGCTGAAAGAAGATAGACAGGATGCGCTGCGATTTTATAGGATTATCTGAGGTTAGAAAAGAGGGGGAAAACACGATAATCCTCGAATCCGGCAACTTGTTCTATCACCGGGAGGGTGACCATCTGTCCCAAGGAGCACAAGTCTCTCGTTGTAAAGGTTGGGTACCCTACACTTAGAATCACCAAACAGTTTTCATTGAAGGTCATACGAGTACAGGTTTACGCACCAATCTCGTCACATCCCGATAAGGAGGTGGAGGAAAAGTATGAGAATATCCCTAAAACCAAGCATTCTTCCAAAACCCACTATCCGGTGTTAATGAGAGACTTCAACGCAAACGAGCTGAAGGTAGTTGAATTCGGAATAGCTCAACGGAATCCAAGGGGCCAGCAACTGGCCGACTTCATAGAGAAAGCTCTTTATGGTAAACTCTTTCTTCAAGACGCATCCCCACAAGAAGTGGACCTGACCGAGCTCCGACGGTTCGATAAAAAGTAAGTTTGACTTCATTATGACGAATAGACGGCAACTGTTAAGTAATGTCTCAGTCATATATATGATAATATCTCTAAAGTCATGCATTCCTCCAAATCCCACTATACGGTATTAATAGTAGACTTCGACGCGAAACTAGGCACAATAGTAATCGGTGAGCTGAAGATAGAGAAATTCGGAATAGGGCAACGAAACCTAAGAGGTCAACAGCTGGCCGACTTCATGGAGAAAGGGGGACTTTGTACTATAAACTCTTTCTGAAAGTGGTCAAGTTTGCAAAACTGAGATCGACTTCATTATGACGACTAGATGGCAACTGTTCAGTGATGTGATGTCTCAGTGATCGCTAGGGTGAAAACTGACAGCGATCATCGAATAGTGAGAGGCACGCTGATATTTGATACTTGTAGTTGTAGCACGTATGGGTGGGTTCAACCAGGGCAGGACCACGCTCTCACATAATACTACCGTGAAATAGCAGCGTAACGCTGCTGTTTCGTATACCACCTGGAATGAAGGCACTCCGTCTTAGTCCTCATGGGTGACAACGCATTTGCATTTTAACTCTTATTGAGGATAAATGTGGATGTCTATGGGCCACAGCATTCACTTACCATCAGGTGGACTGTGTGCTCGTTTGTCAGCCAATGCTATAAAAAAACATTATGTTAACTCCACGTACCCCTCGTGTTCTAATCCAAAGTCCCGAAACCTTTCAGCTCGATATACAAACTGTTTCCAGTGCCTAGAAGATGTAGTAGACGATATGAATGATGAGCTCGTGGAAACTGTCCATGTGGTCGGAGCTAAGTTCTGCACGACCCGCCGCAGAAGACAACATAAAAACTCTCAGATCACACTCTTAATCTCATGGCTGTTAGACAGGAAATGAGGTTGCAGTCTTCAGCAAATTTGATAGCATACAGGCCACTGAACAGACAGATCTCCAAACGCATGTGGCGAGACTAATGCAAATTCAAGTACACAAACACAGCAAAATACGGCGCGTATTGAAGAAGCGTTCGAGCGGAATCAAAGCTCTAAAGTCTTTGCTAGAAATCTGTCTGCCAGAAAGAACCAACTGTCAAAGCTGAAGACCGAGTATGGCAGCATCGTTTCCGGGACACCTGAGATTTTTAGATCCAAGAGCAAGTCTTATCCGACACTATTTCGATGATATCCCGGACGTCAATCTGAGCGAGATTGCGAGGCCTGGAACTGTAACGAGGATGGAATTACAGCGGATCTTCTGAAAGCAGGTGGAATTATGATACTTGAAGTCCTTCAGAAACTCCTTAATTCCGTCCTCCATAGTGGAACTACTTCGGAGGCGTGGAGGAGAAGTGTGTTGATCTTGTTTCCCAAGCGAGCCGACGACGTTTCCTGAAGAACTACCCATCGATATCCCTTTTAAGCCGCATCCACGTGCTGTTTTCAAGAGTCATTACGAATCGTCTCGCACGCAGACTCAACGACTTCCAGCCTCCCAAACAAGTTGGTTTCTGAAAAGGCTTTAGCACCGTAGACCACATACATACCCTTTGGCAAATTTTACAGAAGTCCGAAAATTACAATCTGCCACTTTGTCTTGTGTATATGGATTATGAGAAAGCCTTTGATTGCGTCGAAATTTGGGCGGTGCTATAGTCAGCGATTCCAATGCAGAAGAGCACATTTTCTCGTCAGGTATATATACCTCAAAACTTGAAACCGAGATTGATCTGATACCTGGTCGTTCACTGTTGTCCATATAGCACGCTCAAGGTCACTCAGAGAGCTATGAAGAGGGCTATGCTCGGTGTTTCTCTGCGTGATAAACTTAGAAATGAGGATATCCGTAGTAGAATCAGAGTAACCGACATAGCCCAACGGATTGCTACAAGCTGAAGTGGCCGTGGGCCGGCTATATAGCTCAAAGAACCGACAACCGATGTGGAAAAAAGTTGCTCGAGTGGCAGTCTCGTACCGGTAGGGGGACGCCGCACTAGATGGTGTGATGACCTGGTAAGACATGCAAGAAATCGATGGATGCAGGTGGCTCATAAGCGTGCCTTGTGGCATTCCTTGGGGGAGGCCTATATTTAGCACTGGACCTGTGAATGGCTGTTACGACGATGATGATTATGTTAGGCCTCTATAAAATAGATACTTCAAAAACGATATAATGCCAGAATGCAGGCTATGGTATTAAGCTATTAGCTATTCCACAACTAAACAAAACTTATAGGGAAATAAGCTTTTTTTGTAAGGTATAAATTAACGACAATACAGAAAAAGTACTTTTTCTGTTTCTTACGGTGTATTCAATAATCAAATATTTCAAGAACATTCTGAGCTTTTCCTAAGTCTTAGATAGAAAACAATCTCTGATTTATAAATTTAGAAATATTTTTGGTAACAGTTGACATCTTATGCGTAAAGCAATGTCGCAGTTTAAAAAAGCTACTCGTACATTTAAGATTTTGTTTTATTTATTTATCACTCCGACATTAAATTCAGAAGCTATACCTTTAGAGATAAATTCTATCGGAGAATTAGAATCTCTTGTAAAATGTGTAGTCGCCGCTATAAAAACTGAAAGAAAACCAACAGTTACCATAATTGGAGACGATACGAAAAATACCGTTTATGAAAACATACATAATAAGGAAAGCCTTACTAAAGTTCTTTCAGAAGAATACGTGCCGCAAATAATTTTTAATAAACTACAAATTCTAAATGAATCAGCGAGCAAATTTGAAGAAAATACTATGTTAGTTGTTATTTTCGTCGATAATTGTAAAATTTTGGAACAGTTAGACGTTATAGTCATTGACAAGAAAATAAAATACGTAATAATTCTCTACGAATACGAAGATTGTAATATGGATTTAGAAAAAATTGGATGGACACTTCAACATTATGATGCCACATTTATTTCCCAGTCTAAGAATCATACAATTTATCAGTTTCAGACGACTTTTCCAGATATTGATGAAAGTAGTTGTGATTATTATGTTAAAATTAAACTTAATGTAGTTAATACTTGTTTTAATGGAACATTGGACAAATCTGTGATATTTCCTGCTAAAGAAACAAACAATCTGAAGGGATGTCCGTTTCATGTGGGAATGGCTACATTGTATCCATATTCAATCATAGAAAATAAAGAATCCTTACGAAATCTGCAACAAATAAATGAATCTCAAATACGTGGATCTGATTTGGAAATTATCAAAATTTTTTGTAACAACATTAACGCGTCTTTAAATATGTATTATATATATAGAGAAGAAGAAAATCCATATTTACATACTGAATTTATTTCGTACCTTTTAAACGGCAGTTTAGACGCTTGTGCTGGAGGGCTTTACAACGTATATGGAGACTCGATTACTTATTCAGGTGCATATAACATGCAAGCAGTTATTTGGGCATATCAAGTAGAAAGAGAACCAAGATCTTGGCGAACAATTATAGGTAAAATTAATGGCTTATACATTTTTATTATATTTTATATTTGTTATTCAGTAATTTGGATATTATTCTGTAATTTTGATCACCTCAATGTATCTTGGAGAGACACCTTTCTATACAGCTGGGGTGCGTTAATAGGGGCAGCTTGTTTACAAAACTCCACAACGTTGAAGCAGAAAATATTAAACTTTTCCTATTTGATTCTTTGTATTCATTTGTCGGCATATATTAGCGTGCAATTATATTCTTTTTATACCATCCAAGGACCTCCACAAACGCTTAAAACGAACGATGAAGTTATGGGATCGGGTAGAACGCCTTATTTAAATTTTGAGACCAAATTTTTTGTTGAAGACGCCAAGTATATCGCATTTGCGAAAACCTCACTAAATTGTTCTGGATTTGAAGACTGCGAGAACAAGACAGTTTCTAACAAAGGGTCAACTGTTCTCATTGAAGGATATTTCTACTCTTTACAAGCATTTACTGCGGTAAAAAATGAGGCTAGGGTGCTAAGGGCTTCGGAAAACATTTTATTTATTTATTACTACATGATTATTCGAAGTAACAGTCATTTTGTTAGGAAGTTTAAAAAAACCATAGCAAAACTCTTTGAGGCGGGCATTTGTGATAGACTGTACCTAGAAGTGATTGGTTTATTGACAGTAGCAAAAGCTAAGAGCACCAACGAAAATATTATGGCGAATAGTTACCTCTGCGAGTCTGGATGTGCTATCACAATAACTCAAATTGCGGGTGCAATATACGTTTGGATCGTTGGCTGTACTCTGTCTTTCATTTTATTTGTAATAGAAATAATGGTATACAAAGAACAACATAAGATGCAGTCACCTTTAAGTGAAACGTGAATTTCTGTGAAATACAGGTATCATGTATCTACTTGTAGCGTGAAAGTAAGCTAAAATGTAACTTGAATTTCTCGTTAATAAAAAAATTGTGAATCTTGTATTTTATTTAACACTTTATTTTGCACACGTTGAAGTATTAAATCAACCCCGTTTCGAAAAATTACAGGCTATGTGTTATAATTATATCATTGTTATACTATTATTATAGTATTACGCTTCAGAACCATGAATGAATGAGTTGAATATGCATGATTCCTGTGGAATCATGCATATTCAATCATCCTACCCTTGGGGGCGGGTTTGCTTCTCGCCGGACGATCCCAATGTTGTTGCGGATTCTGTCGCTGATGTGGTACTTCAGGGTATGGAACTTTTTATTCCTTCCTCTGTGGTGCCCATTCGAGGCAAATCTCAGCCATGATTTGGTCGCTCCTGTAAAATAGCATCATGCTATAAGCAGGAAAGCTACCGAGCCTGGGCTGACGCATCAGCGTGCCGGCATGTAAACACCAGCGCTATAAAAAAGAAGTATAATTCCGCCTCTAGGTCCTTCAAAAGAGTCATTGCTAAGACAAAGTCAGAGCACACAGGCAGAATTGGCGAGAAACTAGTTCGCCTTCCTTCTGGAACTCGTGCATTCTGGTCTCTCGCTAAGGCTGTCCAGGGGAATTTCTGTCAGCCATCTTTTCCATCTCTGCACAAGGAGGACGACTCACTGGCCCATACCGCAAAGGAGAAAGCCGATCTTCTGGGTTCTTTCTTTGCGCCCAACTCGACTCTCGATGACGGGGGGAGTACGCCGCCAACCATCCCGCGGTGTGAGTGCTCCATGCCGGAAGTGCAGTTCACACAGCGCTCGGTTCGCAAAGCACTCCTCTCCCTGGACATCCACAAGTCGAGTGGGCCTGACGGAATCCCCCCAATTGTGCTGAGGACGTGTGCTCCAGAGTTGGCACCGGTTTTAACGCGTCTTTTCCGGTGCTCCTACTCCGTAGGCGTAGTCCCAAAATCATGGAAGACGGCTTTCGTCCACCCGATCCCTAAAAAAAGGCGACCGCTCAGACCCGTCCAACTACCGGCCTATCGCCATCACCTCCTTGTTCTCCAAAACAATGGAGTCCATTGTAAACTGCCAGCTCATGAGGTACCTTGAGGATCACCAGCTGATTAGTGACCGCCAATACGGTTTTCGCCGTGGTCAGTCAGCTGGTGAATCTTCTGGTCTACCTAACTCACAGATGGGCGGAGGCAGTAGAGTCCAAGGGGGAGGCATTGGCCGTTAGTTTGGACATTGCGAAGGCCTTCGATCGGGTTTGGCACAAAGCGCTTCTTTCGAAGCTCCCTTCCTACGGGCTTCCCGAGAAATTGTGCGATTGGATCACCAGCTTTCTTGCAGATCGGAGCATCAAGGTCGTTGTAGACGGTGCAAGCTCCGATTGCAAGCCTATTAATGCTGGTGTTCCACAAGGCTGCGTGTTATCGCCAACGCTGTTTCTTCTGCGTATCAATGAATGTTGCAAATCCGTAACATTCATTGCTATGCAGATGACAGCACTGGTGATGGCAATATTTCTCGGGAAAACGTCTCCGAGTGCCGGGACAAACTTGTGTCTGAAGTCGAGTCCTTGCTGAACAGAGTCTCGGATTGGGGGCGACTAAATCTAGTCCAATTTAACCCCCAGAAGACACAAGTTTGCGCGTTAACCGCTAAAAAGAACCCCTTTGTCGTATCTCCTCAGTTTCAAGACACTCCCCTTGTTGCCTCAGCCAGTATCGGAATCCTCGGCGTTGACATATCGAGTGACGTGCAGTTTCGTGGTCACTTGGAAGAGAAGGCCAAATTGGCCTCTAAAAAGCTTGGCGTGCTCAGCAGAGCGGGACTGTATTTCATGCCGGCACACCGCCTGCAACTTTACAAGGCGCAGGTTCGGCCGCACATGGAATACTGTTCCCATCTCTGGGCTGGGACTCCCCAGTACCAGCTCCTTCCACTTGACCGCATCCACTGCAGAGCGGCTCGAATCGTCGACGACCGAGTGCTTTCCGATCGGCTCGATTCACTGGCACTGCGAAGAGATGTTGCATTCTTTGCATTTTATTTCGCATATACCATGGAGAGTGCTCTGAGGAATTGTTCGGATTAATCCCAGCCGCCATTTCGTGGATGCATACGCGGGTATCCACACCACAGTACGTTTCAAAAGGAGTTTTCTTCCGCGTACAACCTCTCTGTGGAATAGTTTACCACCGGCGATTTTTCCGGACCGATACGACCTGGAGACCTTCAAGAAAAGATCTTACTCCTTTCTAAAGGCCGGCAACGCACCTGCAATTCCCCTGGTGTTGCGGTTGATCATGGGCGGCGGTAGTCACTTAACATCAGGTGAGCCGCATGCTCGTTTGCCCCCTCTTCTATAAAAAAAATAATATTCAACTGAAAGATACCATAATCGTATGATTAATTTTTACTTCTATAGACGATTATCGTAAAATTAATTTATTCTTATTCGTCCGATATATTTCAAATATTTTAAATTTATAATATTATAATAATAATATTTTTATAATTTTAGATAATATAATAAAATATATGCAGCGTGTTTGGAAGACAGGTGCAAAGCCTGAAGGGGATGATACCTTAAACTATCTCAAACATATTAAGCTTAACTTGTCTTAGACGAAGTCTGCTCCTTTTTTTAAATTGAATTTCTAGGGGTTTCAACAATAAAACACTTTTTTTTTAATTTTACGTTGCTAATAGTGTCCTGTAGTAACAGTTGTTGTGTTATTATTTTTTATTTCGGGCCTCCTATAATAATATAAAAAAAAAAAAAAAAAAACCCCCAAGGCCCCTGTGTTTTTTTTTTTAAAAAAAAAAAAAAAAAAAAATTTAAAAAAGGTACGGTTTTTAAAAAAAACCAGGGAGTCATTCATCTAAAAATGTGAAAGAAAAATGTGAGATTATTTTTTTTTTTTGGGGGGGGGGGGGGTATATTAGTTTATCTAGGGTTACTGGGGGTTTTGTTTTTTAAATTTAATTTTATATTAATTTTAATAGGGGGGGGGGGTTCCCGGCCCCCTGCGTTTGTTTTTTTATTTAAAATAAATATATTGGGTTTTATTTTTTTTGGCTGCGGTAAGGGGGGGGTGTCTTCTTCTCGGGTATTATGTGCCCGAAAAAAAAAAAAAAATTAACTTTTTTTACTCAAACAAAATAATTTCCGAACATCTTTTTCGTCAGCGAAACATTCTACGTATATTTGAGTTTAAGAAAACAAAAAAAGTTAAGGAAATGTTGTATTTATACCATCATAAAAAAAACAAATACAAACAAACCTTTGTTGTTCAAACCTTTTTAAAAACGTACGTAGTTTTCCCCCTTTCTTTTGAGGTATTATTTACGTAGATATCTCATCAACTTTTGAAATTACAGTGTACAAAGCAAATTGCGGACAAATATTCTTAATTTTTAACAGACCAATAAAACAACATTTTTGTTAAATTCATTTTTCGTGATCAAAATGTTGATCGTGATTTCTGACAAAGGCGCGGGCTTTTTTCTTCTTCTTCATAACTTGAAAATCCGTATGGATTCTTCCTATTAACTACTCTCCCCCAAAACGAAAAAATCCACAGGAGTTAAATCAGGTGATCGGGTTGGCCATGGGATGGAGCCGTCTCTGCCGATCCAATTCAATGGGACACAATTATTTAAATGTTCTCGCACGTTAAAGAACCATCTTGCTGAAAGATCATTGGTCTTCTCGTTGCCAACATTGGTATTTCGGGATCGTTTATGAGGAATTCCAGGTAGTGGTCTCCATTTAATTATCTAGTGGGGACCAATCAACATTCGGCCGATTTCTGCTGCGCACATGTTTACTGAAAATTTTCTTTAAAACGACACTACTTGCTTCTTCCTGTGTGGATTGCTGTCCTTGCCAGCCCTTCGATAGAGTGTATGAAAGTTGGTAATTCCTTCTTTCGAAAACTTTGACTCATCGGTCCACAAAATGGATTTTTAAAACCATTTATCTTCAATGTCACTATTTAGCAAAAAGTAACAGAACTGAATCCTTCATTGGGGATATTTATTTCCAAACCTTGTACACCCGTGCCGTAAAAAACATACTTGTTTCCTCGGTACATCGTATTACACGCCTTCCGAAATATTGAGGTTTCGAGCTGCTGCTCTGACGCTCGTAGTAGGTTCTGCATCGAAAGCTGCAATAATGCCTTCCTCGACACTTACACTATGTCTTCCCGGATTGACTCCAGGATTCGCGTGATGGATTCCAGCTTCAGAAAGCCGACAAAATGTGCTGTAAAATACTCTGAAATTGAGTAATCTTCGATTAGAATATACCTCTTGGTACATCCGCCGAGCCAAAGTTCCATTAACGTCAGCTCTGTCATACATGATGATTCATCAGCAGATCAGCAGATTTTATTTATTATCTTATGATGGCATAAACTCAATATTTCTTTATTTTCTTAAAGTTAAATATTCGTAGAATGTTTTTCTGATGATTAAGATGCTTGGAAATATTTTGTTTGAGTAATCACACATTACATGAAAAAAAAATAATAATAACATAACAACCATTACTGGACACCATTAGAAACTAATTGTAAAAAAATGGGTTTTATTGTTAAAACCTTAGAAATTCAATTAAAAAATAAGTGCAGACTTCGTCTAAGACGAGTTTAGCTTAATATGTCTCATATCTTCCAAACAGCCTGTATATTACTTAATTATTCCATAGTTAGTTATATACTTAAGTTACTTTGATGGTAAGGTGATTTGACTATAGAAAAAAAATTGTATGTCTGTGTGTCTGTTTATTTATGTACACATCACAGGTTCGCAGGTGGAATACTCATACGTGGAATAGCTCATATAAATGTAATCTTTATTATGTAATTCTTCAATATATCAACGGTAAAGACGTTGTGATGTAGTGCTAGGAAGTCCATAAAATCAACGTTTTGAGTTGTAC